TTCAGTAAGTGAAGCGTCTCCTCGGCAGGGAAAGCTTGAAACGCTCAGGATGAGCCTCGGGGCTGGGGTGAAGCCAGGCAGCTCCGTCCGGCCTGCAGCGTCCTCGTGGTGCTGCGGCCTGGCTGCGGGCTGCCGGCCTCCGGGGGCCTCTGGGGGCCTCTGGAGGCTGGTGGAGGGGTTAAACATGCGGTGTGAGACGTGTTACAGGTCTTGTGTGTTTTGGTTTTTTTTCCTTGGGGAGAATTTAAGGCAGTGAGCCCACTAGAGGGCACCGGGCACTGATGGAAATGCCGGTGAGACCTCGGGGCTATCCAAAAGGACAGCTCTTTGGAGGCCGGCGGTGGGGAGCACCTGGAGTGAGTGCCCTGTGATTCTCGGCTGGTTATGTGGGGCCAGAGTGTGGTTTACTTAAATAAATTTAAAAAATAGTAAACCGGATCTATTTGTACTGTCCGGTTTTAACTTCTGTCCGGATAACGAATGCTGTATTTCTACCAAAGAGAAGCAGAGATGTAGATCTTGAGTTTGTTTGCCCTAAAGGAAGCTCTTTCTAGGTCCTGTGTAAATACATGTGCTCTGTCTCCCATATTTCAATGAAATACTTGACGTGTTTGGTGTTTTATCCGGGGTGTGGTGGGGTTTTATCTAAATCTCATTAAAAACTACAGATAACTATGTACTTTGTTTATATAGTTCTCAGTTGAAAACCAGTTGGAATGTGAGGCACGTGCTGGTTTCTCCACGTTCACCTTCATAGGCAATAACAAAATCAGACTTACTTTTATTACTTCTCTTTTGTGTATTGGTATGTTTTGCTTCCACTATTTATTGATATCTTGTACTGTACCTAAAGCAAGATAATGCTGTTTTGGCAAGAATTGAAGGCATGCACTGTTTAATATATTAGGTCAAATTGTCTCTATTAATGCATGTTCTAAAGAGATTTTTTCATTTTGGTTGGTCCCAAGAAAAGCTTTTACTTTTTCCTTCCTTTGGTTTTCTGGCCTTTGTGCCATAGGGAGTATTTGGATAACTTATTTTTTTCTCCTCTGCGTTAACTCAGAGTAATGAGTTTAGTCACTCACATTTTTCTAGTACTGGCATTACAGATCTTGGTTTTGCCAGAATGCTGAGAACGGTGCCCCTAAGGGCAAAGGAATAGCCTGTGACTTGAACTATTTTGAAGTAAAATATGAACAAAATACCATTGTTGATTATTGAATGGCTTTTAACATGTAAAAGCCATACCTGGATTTCCTTTATCTCCTTGGCCTTTTGCCTCCCTGAGGAACTTATGGGATGAAGATGTGACATTCGCTTCCTATTCTGAGTTTATTCTGCAGCATACATTGAAAAAAAGATGTATATTTAGCTATTACTGTGATAAAAGTGCTTTTGCAGACAAGGATTTTTAAGGTGTCCTTTAGTTCAGCTGTAGAGAAGATTTTGGTCGTTTAAGTTGGACCTCTATGATTTGAGGTATTTTAGGGTATTCTCATCAGATGCTAGAAACATGTAGACAAAAAAAAAAACTTTCTAAAATAGGGTATGTTTCCTAAAAATTGATATTTTGGACAGTATTGTGATAACAAAGGCAAGATAATTCTGCAGGAAAGTAATATTGAATAAAAATAAATAAATCCCTATTTATTTGAAACATTTATTTCATTATTTGTCAGATTCATATGGCCCCTTTGTTGAAATTAAAGATAAACGCTGCAGAGCTGTCCCTTTGGCTCAAAAGGCATGAATGTAGTTGCAATTTTAAGGGATTTTCGAGATTTTTCTAGGCATTCTCTCCAAGTCATTGATATTGAAGAAGTTTGCAGAATTACAAGCGTCAGGTTTTAACCCCGTGTTGTGACTCCATTCTACTAAATAAAGGAACAAAATCAGACACAGATTTGCTGCGGTGCAGTGCTCAAGGATACTTCTAATCAAGATTCCCGAAATACAAGTGGGAATCTGTATGATTTCTCTGCAATGATATGGAAATGCCATGAACACTTGCGTCATATTGCATATCTTCATCTTCTTTTTCTTTTTACAGGGTTAATTAAGAGCAATAATAGATGTTGCCTCAATTGGGCTGCTGTTTTCGGAGATCATAATTTCCTGAGGGCAGCCTTTCAGGATGGTCAAACAGCCCAACTAAAAGCAGTTAATATTAACATCTCATAAAATGAGAGCTCTATGAACCGTTTTGACTTACCCATTTCAGGTGATGCTGTGAGCACATGAATAGTGTGAGAGGACTCTTGGCTGCCTCAGTAATTTCCATCCAGAACTCCTGCTTCATCTATCCTGCCTGTCAAAAATGCTTTTCTAGGCTGATGCTGGATTCTAGGAGGTATGTCCTGCTTTGGGGATTATTAACTGTAACTGTCAGGTGCCTTGGGAATCTCTGTAAGCTGAACACAAGGTAAAACAAAGTGGTGAAAATCCAGCCCATCATAGAAATAAGTGCTAACTTGAGCTATTTCTGTCAATTGTCACTGTTTAGATCTCTCTGTGTTCCAATAGCAGCTTGGATGTCGTTATGGATCAGGAGTTCTTACGCATTCAGTGCTATGCAGTATCGAAGGACAGTTTAGGAGTATAAATAATGTGTGTTAATAGCTTCCAGCTGCATCCCAGTTCTTCAGTGCTGTTCCAAAATTGGAAAGCATTGGTTGAAAAACCCTCCAAATCTAGTCCTAATATTTTTTTAAATTTCTTCTCATTCAATGTGTGTGATGCATCAGGCATGACTCTTACACTTACTCTATGTCCAGCAACATAGGAGCTTTCCTTTTTAATCCCACTGTTATGTGAAATCTATGACACACACAAGAACAGTCAGTGAGTGTTAGCCCTAAATGGAAGAAGCTGACTTTGCAAAGCAAGAATATCTGTTGTTTCAAATGCTGAAGTAAAAGCGAACAGTGCTGTTCCCTGGTGATTTTTTTAAGATCTAGGTATTACACTAAAGCTACAGGAAAAAAAATCCCAAACCAGAATAGAATGTAGAAAAGGGGGTGCAGGAAATTGAAAATTACTCCCCAGCAGGTCATCCAAAACCCACTGTGTCTTTCCAACAACAGGCTAGCATTTAATAAATCAGTAGAAGAAGCCAGAGGGATTCTGACACGATACAGACCCGTTACTGAGCCTATGGTGAGATTGATGCCTTGGGGAGTAAAGAATAAGAAAGAATCTTACAGTTTATAATAGGATATTTGATACATTACAGTAGTAATATTTACAGCTGCAAATAAGTTCCTGCCTCCGCAGTGATTAACACAAGCTCACGGATTCAGTCTTTTTTTATCCTTTTACTGTCTTTTGCCAGGTTTAACTGTCTAAAATGTGGCTGTGCTGGTGAAGCGAAAGATGCGAGCTACAGATACAGATTGTCCCTAAAGGTTGCTGACACTAACGATTTGTTTGACATTACCGTGTTCGGAAGTTGCTTAGACCCGTTCTTTGGGGTCACCGCAGAAAACCTGCAGAGGTAGGGAATGGATTCTTTCTGACTATATAGCTGCTGCTTTTTCTTCAGCCTTAAAAAAAAAAGAGATGAGCTTGGATGGTTGGGAGACGAGTGGGACAAAGCTGCTAAAGTGCTCCCTTCCAGCATCCTGAGAAGATGCTGAAGTTTGGCTTCTTCCTGAAACCTTGACATTTTGAGATGGTTTACTTGTACATAAGAGATCCTCCACTTGTCCGTTGAAGGCAGCTGCCACCTGGTAAGTGACCTTCATGGTTTGGTTGGTTGGGCTTCTCCCTTGCATCCTTCTTCCCTCATTTGAGATGTTTGAATTTTCTGTGTCTAATGGCAAATTACTAAGTTGTTTTTTCCAGATATTTAGATTTTATATATTTATTATATAATAATTTTTTCTCAAGATTTTAGAAGAATCTTAAGGTAAAGATAGAGCCTCTGTTTTGGGGTGGTTTTTTTAACAGTTTGGATTGAGTGGGGGAGGGGGGAAAGTATGCACCTTATGACTTAACTTAAATATGACCAGATTTTCTTTAGCAAGGAGGAATTTCTAAGAAAGCCTGTTAGTCCTCAGAGCCTGACCACCTACATTATAAGCTTCAGACTGTGATATGCGAAACTGCTAGGACAGGATATTCAGATACATTCACGGCCTGTTTCTCTATTCCATTATTTTCCAATGCCTTCTGTTCTCACTGGGTCAAAGACGAACGCTTTTTAAATCCCGTATTAGCAGCATTAATGGCGCTCTCATGGCAGGCGTTCTACACGAGACTGCTGTACTGCTGTCAGCTGTGAAAAACACTCATTTGCATGTCTTGCTATGGATGTCGCTGTAAAGAAGTGGGCAGAAAGGATGTGTAAGCAATAGCAGCAGACTGGCAGCAGTACACAGTGGTGGTGTTGATCACAGCCACACAGGGAACACCTGGAAGTTGTCTGTGTATTAAATCCATTCAAAGTGGTTGTCTTGTTTACTTCTGTTTCACTAACAAATTAAATCAAGTTACAGTTCACTTGATAGTGCAATATAGGTTCATGGTTTCCTGTTTTCATTCTGTGTTTAGTTTTAGCTAAACTAAACAGGATCTTCTCTCTGCACGATCTTTCTTCTTACCTCTACCACAGCTAAAATACTGTGTAAGTCTGCTTCTGTTGTTGAGTACTTCTCTATGTTTTTACTCAAGGTACATTCAAGACCTCAATCAGCTGTCTGGAGAAACAAACAGAGATGTACCTCCGGGAGTGTTAGTTCAAGCAGTGGAAACCTGTTTCATTGGAAAAAGATTTATATTTGGAGTGAAGGTAACTAACTTCTAATCCACATTACTTTATTATATAATAAAATAATTAGTTTTTTCATTAGCATGTAGCCAGTTGAAGGCATAGACCAAGTTATCCTTGGATAACTCGTGTACAGCATCCTTGGATAACATCGTGTACAACATCTTTTGGGAATTGGAGAAAATTTAGGGCTAGGACATGGGAAGGATTGTGCTCCTCTTCCCCCAGACTCCTGTGCTGTTTTAAATGAGTCACATTCAGAAGTCCTCTTGAACAGCAGTAGTCAGCTTGACAGCTTGTCAGGGCTGGTTTTCAGCAAGCCTGAGCAGTGCCAGCTCCTATGCATATCAGTAACAGCTTGGAGTCTGTAAAAACCCATGTACAGTTCAAGCACGAAGCAGACTGTCTTTTCAAGCACTGTCCTACCTTTCACACGCTGGTGTCTGAAATGTAAGGAGAAACGCATCCCCTTGCAGCATTTTGATACCTCTGGATTTAAGAGCATGTTTAATAATGTTGATGACGTACAGCTGTTCAACATACGCACCTGTGGTTCTTTCATGTGTTTAACAGACTTTGAAATATTAATTCTTAGTAATATTTCCATAGAAACAGTCTTCTAAATTCTCTTTGGGTGGTGCTTGTGTGAGTCATTCATATTATGAATTCTGTGAAGTAAATTCTACCTGGCGGGTGTTTTTCCTCTCCCACCGGGACCATGGGGTTTGTACCTGAGCTATTTCCCTAATGTACAGCATCTTAAGTAATGGAAGTTGGAGGACTTTATGAATTAACTTTACTTAACTGGAACCATTCACCAGGTCTCCAGATCTGACACCTCTACAAATACGAGTAATCCCACGTGTCATCAGCCTTGTTGCTGCTCCTGCACGTGCAAGGCCTGAACACACACTGGGAGACCATTTGTTCAGCCTTTGCCTGTAGACATTTCTGTATAGCTGTGTTCAGCTGTGCAGGCAGTTGCGCTCTCCCAGCTAAAACCCGGAATCAACACAGCCTACCTCTTTTAAGACTTACCTAGAAGGGTATTGACTTTGGCAAGCAGCCTTCAGCCTCAACCTTTGCATAGACTGAGGGAGTAGGAGGGTTGTTGAATTTGAAGACATATGTCTTTCCTTTTTGGCCTCTCTGACATTGCCAGACCTTGAGGGGGAGGTGAAAAAGGGTATATCCACTTCTCAAAACGTTAGGTAATTCCCTCAGCTTTTACTGTCATTTTTCACCTGTAATTTCTGTGCAGAGAGAAGCAGGTTCTATAAAGAACTGCAGCTGAAGCTCCTCTGAAACACTACTCTGCAAAAATCCGAGAAGATAAAGCTTGTAGCTTATTTCCCTCTCACAGAGGTGGCACATAGACAGTATCATGCTGGCTTTGTCAGCTGAGCTGTCAAGTCAGGGGTCTGGCACCACAGTGCTTTGCTTCGGCAACTGCCCAGTGCCCCCGAGACACAAGAAAAGCACTGGCTGTAGGCAGCTGGCCATTTGCACAGAACTGCACTGGAGGAAGCCCGGAAGCACCCACTGCCCTGAAGGAAGGAAGAAATTTTCTGTGAAGTCCTTCCTTAGAATCCTTGGTTGTTTTTCCAGCTCCAAAACTCTGTGTAATTGCAACAAGCAAAGAGCCTCTTGCTGTGATGCCCTTTATAGCCCTTGCCAGTACTTATTTCCCAGGGAGTACTGCTTTGTGTGATGGGCTGTTTTGTATTCTCTTCCCTGCAGATCCTCACAAAAAGTGAGACCTAAATTTAAGCCTGACTTAAAAGATGTGCATGGTTCCCCCCCAGTCACAAAATAAAGCATTGTACTAAGGGTTTTTTTCCCTCTCGCAGGGTTGTACGAGTGAAGATGGAGGGCGTTCTGCTGCCAGCAGCATCCTGCAGAACTGTTCCAGAATTAATAGAAGTACAAAAAATCTTACAGCTTGCCAGATCTTCCTGCCAAACACTGCTGTTACCGGCTTTACTGTTATCAGCTACTTCCGTCGGCTCCTGCACTCAGCAAAATTCAGGAGCTCTAACAACAGCTCATGCTTACCTGATACATCTTCAGCTCCAGTAGATGAACCTGTCAGTGAGCTCAGCAGCTTGTCAAGCTTGGGCAGAAACTCCTGCTTTGTTCAGTCTTGTGGCAGAGAAAGTTTTTTAGGGTCCTGGCAGCAGTCCTTCAGTCTGACTTCATCTGTTGCTTGGGTAACAGCGGAAGACTTTCCCACTCTGGAAGAGGGAAAGCTGGAGGGTGAACAGCATGAAGAAGAGGGGAGGTCTGTCTCTGCAGAATCATGCAGTGTAAACCTCAACAATCAAACTCTTTGGGATTCAGAGTTTTGCAGCCCTTCTGTGAAGGAAGGGGATAAAGAGGAGGATAATGGGTTGAATTCACAGCCTAGTCAGACTGATGAATTGGAAAGAGTATCCTCTTCCAAGACTGAGTGTTCATATGGAAACAGTTCCAGATTGCTAGAACATCCGTTGGAAGTTGGGATAAAAAGCATTTACCCAAAAACTAACAGTAGAAATTATCCTTACCCAGAAAAATCCCCCAGCTCCCTTTTTTACCGGAGAGATGCCTCAGCTTCTTATCCCGTAGATGTAGCTGGAGTACCTCAGATGGACTCTGTGCTTTGGGATGAGCTCCCATTCTCAGAAAGCCTAAATGAATTTCTAGCCAGATTAGAAGAGGGCAGGAGTGTTGTAACATCACCCCACCTTGATGCAGGCAAACAAGCCCTTCTTGAAAGTAGCGAGTTGGGCGTAAACCTTAACGAATCGTATCCCAGGCAAACCCTAGTAGCTGGTGACTTGCCTGAAGCGAGCGTTTCGGGGAGGTTCTTGCCGTCAGCAGAGAATGATAGCTGGGAGGACATGTGGTTTGCTGGTCTTCAGTCGAATGCAAATCCTCTGAGTGAGAAGGTGTCACAGTCTGAGTCTTCCTATGGTGTTTTATCTTCAAAGGACAAGGAATCTGGAGCATCGTGCTCTGTACCTAACCCTTACCTACCTATTCTGTCACAGTCCTTGCCACTTACCTCGGAGCCTTCCGTTTCTGCGAGCAGATCCATGCAGTCCAAAGAAGCAAATACTAACATTTCAAAGACAGCTTGGTCTTTTGTTAATCTGTGGTGTACTGCTGAACATGGAGAAACCTCCTGTTCGGAAAGGAGCAAGGCAGCTACCTGTGCACGTTCTGCATGCGATAGCTGTTTAACTGGTGGTGAAAACAAAGAAAATTCTTCTGCGCCAAGCCAGAGAACAGATCTTACGTTCACAGGGTCGTGGGCCTCCAGTCCAGCAACTCCCAACACAACAAGAAGGATATATAAAAGAGAATTAAAACCGTTGGCAGAGCTGTCAGGAAATAACTTTAAAAGCGTTAGTGGGAGAGCGATGCTGTGGAACGACAGCTTCCCTGAGGGCAGCTACAACGCTTCTGCTGATCTCTTTGATGCAAGCACAAGAGAGGAAGCAAAACCTGTAGAATTCTTAAAGAAATCATGTAATTCTTTAATACAGGAAGATACTGTGACAGAAAAGGTCGTAACTCCTGAATTGTTGCTTTGTCCTGGAGATGTTCCCTGTAACAATTCAAAACGGAGCTTATCCCTGCCCAGGTCCCCTCCTGCTTTTAGCAAGCACAGTACACCAGGAGGTTACCCCTTTTCTGATGCAGAAGGCAATTCAGGTAGCATGCAAGACTTCGTTCCTTACTCACAGTCAACTCCTGTGACAAGACCTCTCCAGAAACTGTGGCCTCTTGGGGAAGGAAGCTTTTTTGTCCCTACCTTCACTCCTAAAAATCCCACTAAAATCCATTCCAAAGGCAAGCGATCTAGGTCTTCCTTTCAAAACACTCTGTTGGAGCAGCTTACAGGCAGATTAGCCAAACGGGAAAGGCCAAATAACAGGGAAGACGGAGAAAGGAACAGCTCTGTTTCACAGCAGCTCCTTAAGAGCCACCCTCCTGCCAACTGTGAGGAGCGGATCCCTCCATCTGGGAACAAAAGGTTGAAACCAACCGCATCTTTAACCTTGAAACCAGTCAGCCGGGCCACTGGCTTGCGGTTGACCCGTGGGCACGCTGGCAGGAGCCCTGTTTCCCAGAGCAGAGAGGACAGTGGAAATGAGGTGTGCTTCAGAAAGGAGACATTACACCCTGGAAATACAGCCGGGATTCTAACAACCCCTGTGTCTGCAGGTGTCACCAAAGCTTTGTTTTTAAACGATAACCTCCTGGAAACGTGTTCCCCTTCAGAAGGCAAGAAACTCCTCCCAAGTGCAAGTTATCCAGGGGGTGTACTGGAAGGAGCAACTGGCTGGTCTCCTGAGTTGTTCTTCCAAGCACAGAGCCCTTTTTCCAATAAGCCAAAATACTGAAAAAAGATATTTCTATGCTGGGTTCTTTTTAATAATTTTTAAAACTTTGGGGAAGGAGCCAGTAGAAGAAAAGAGCTGTTGGGAATCAATTGAATTGTTTATACACCTATTGGCATATGTATTCCTAAGATGAGTTATGTTTATTTCTGTGTCTACCACAGTGATGGGGGAATACAGAATTTGCAGTTACTTCATTTTACTGTGAATTAACTGTAGAACGTGCAATAAAAGCTTTTGTAAACGTGTATTTAATAGATCTCACTTTATCAAGTACAGACCAGTGAAGTGTCAGCACTTCATTTTACTGTGAATTAACTGTCGAACGTGCAATAAAAGATTTTGTAAATGTGTGTTTAATAGATCTCACTTTATCAGGTACAGGCTGGTGAAGTGTCGTAGTGTTCCGTGCTGCCTTTTCATCACAAGAGCTGCCCCCGGAGTCCACATCCGCTCCACATTCTTCCCTGCTCATTCTCCATAGGGAAGACCCAAGTTTTCCCCAAAGAATCTCCAGTACCGTATGGGAGCCTCCTATTTGAGCACATTTGGGATCCAGTGACAGAGCTGGGTGGAGGGGACCATCCTGAGGTCGGTAGCAGCTCCCCCTTTTCCCGGAGGGTTTTTCAAGTTCAAGGTATCTAGTGGCAGATTCCTCTTCCTTCCTCTGGGGTCTTCCCTATCCCCCACCCACAACAGCCGCATTTAGGATCACTGAACAGGGAAATCTTGGAGCTGCTGCAAGCTTATAAGTGGGGTTCTGCAGAAGGATGTGGGAGTCTGATGGGACGGGGGTTCATCAGCCTGAAAATGCTGACTTACACAACCAGAACTGGGCCTAAAGCTTTCTGCTGTGACTCTTTTTTTGAGGTATGGAATGAATATGCACCACTGTGGTGGTGTTGCTTGGGATGGCGTTGGTTTTCTTCACCGTGGTGAGTGCGTGGCTGTGTTTTGGGTTTGTGCTGAGAAAGGGTATTGATGGCGCTGGTGTTTTTAGTGGTTGCTGGTTTAGTGTTTGTACCCGCACAAGGACCTTTTCTGTTTCTGGTGCTGTGCCTGTGTTCCCAGCTCCTTTGCTGGCCCAGACTAGCCAAGAGGGTATTTCATTCCATAAAATGCCATGTTTGGTATATAAACTGGGGGTTGGGCCAGGGATCACTCTCTCCAGTTCTGGCTCTCGGTCGGTCAGCGGGTGGTGAGCGGTTGTTACACCTATTTTCCACTATTTTCATTATATTATTATTGTTGTTGTTAGTATTATTAGCATCAGGTTTATTTAATTTCCTTTCAATTATGAAATTGTTCTTATCCCAACCCACGAGTTTTTCTCCGATTCTCCTCCTCCACTGGAGAGGGAGAAGGCGAGCGAACGGCTGCGTGGTACTTAGGTGGAATTAAATCACAACATTGTGACTGGTGACGAGGCGAGTTTACTGGGATCATTTTCTGCTACAAGACAGACATTATTCTGTATTTGAGGCCTCTCTTTATTTCTAATCTCCTACTTAAGCCCCAGGCAGTGTTTGCACAGGGAGTTTTGTCTCCATGCAAGGAACACTCAGGATCACTCAGGCTATAAGGACTCCGCCTCTGCTTTCGGAAATCCGAGGGGCAGAAGTTGCTGAAAGCTAGAATTGTGGGAACATGTCATTTTGTGCTCCTGTTCCCCTATATTTTACTGTCTGTTGTTAGTCACTGGTGAAGTCGGGGCTAGAAGGGCTGGCGTGACTCTGAGAGGTTTCTCTCCCCTTCCCTCCGCTTGGTCTCACGATAGGTACGTCGCCGGGGCGTGCACACAAACCCGTGTTTTAGGGCAGGACCCGCCAGAGGCAGCCAATGGGAACCATGTTTGTGATGGATGAAAAAACCAGACCATTGGAATTTGAGCTGTGATCTTTGTATCCCTTCTATGAATAAATCTGCACCTGCTCTATTTTCAGGACATTCAGGGAAGTAGGAGGGCAGTTACGCCCACGCCACCTTGTCCTTTATCCACTATTTTTAGCATGGCTCACCTCTAAGGAACATACAGGTAAACCTTTTCAGTTTCTCAGTCTCTTCTCAGTTCTGCACCTTCTAATCAAACGCTTTTCTCCTTGAGGGGCGGGTGGGAGAAGAGTATTTGAACTCAGACAAGCTGCTTCTGCGGCTGAGCCGGGTGTTGGTGAGATACAGCCCCTCCAACCCGGGGCACGTGTGTGCCGAGGCTGCGGGCATTGCAGCAGGCTGCAGGGAGAAAGCAGCTCTTCCTGTCTACACAGCAAGTCTGCACGGGTAAACTCACTTTTCAGAAAGGTTTTTCCACAGCACTCGCTGTTGGGTGGTTGGGTTTACCCCACTGATGACTTACAGGTGAGGAAGGGGAGGTACAGGTTCAAAGACTTGCCAGTATGAAGAGAGCGTGGAGACTGGCTCTGAGGATCACTGAAAGACCTTCACCACCAAACCATCTTTTCTCCTTGCTGTCCTACCCAGCCAAGTTCTTGAGCACAATCCCAGAGTTCTTCCTCGTGTCTGAGCATGCTGCAGCAGTGGCAAGAGGCTCGAGGTTTCTTCTTGGAGGTCCAAGCCTAGATCCCTGCAGTCCCTGGGCCCTAGAATAAACAGAATAAAAAGGACCATCTAGTTACAGCAAAAAAAGGGAAAGGGAAAAAAGCAGAATTAAACATAATTTGATGACCAAAGTAACTTCAAGCATCGTACCTGTGAGTGGAGTGACTTCAGTGCCATGCCACTGACACCCCCACCTAAACCTCCGTGGCAGAGCGTGGCAGTGCTGTGCTGCGCTACACAGATCCCCGTGCAGGGCTGCTCGGCGTGGCCAGGGGACGCGGGGGTAATAGGAGATGAGATACCACCCCTGGGGGCTGTTGATGAGCTGCCCAGCTGAGCTTTAGCCCTGCACTTGACAGCTGTAAGAGCACCAAACTGCACCAGGGTTGCTTTGGACAGGACGGCACGGGGCTCTAGCGTGAGCCCAAGGGAACAAACCTGTGCCTGTTCAAAGGATTCTATTTATTGAAAATTAAATCCTATTCAATAATCTGTGTTAGAGGCAAGTGGAAAAGAAGTAAGAAATGTAGCCTGCCTGGGGAGGGTGAATCTGCATTGGTAGCTTACGTAGAAGAAACAAAGGGCAAGACAGCATTACTCATATCCAAATCACTGAGCACGGGGAAGGCACTATCAAAAAGGTTTTACGGCATCAGTGCTCAAACAAGCAAAGCTTGAAACTCGTTGTTTGTCCTACAGCCTCCCATATAACATGAGACTGCAGTATCACTGGCTCTAAGCACTCCCTTGTGATGAACTGGACAAGCAACTACTTTATCACGGGCGCTCAACCTGATCCAAGTGCTACACCTGGGACTTGCTGCGGCTAGCGGTGAAACGCTGCCAGAGCTTCCACATCACGCACCCGACAGCATCCTGACATGAAATGTTTTGTCCAGCATGAGTGATTTTATTCAGCAGAGAATTCACCCACATACTACGGTAAGCGGTAGCTTTGGTGCAAGCTGATGTGAATTATAAGCTTGTACAAAAAGAATCAAGCTCAGCATGTTTAATTCTGATGGTAATAAAACTCCTGAAAAACGCATATGGGGTTTGCGGCTGATTCCCTATGCACAGAAATCCATAAATCAGGGCTAGATTTTAAATGAGGTAGGGCTGTCTCTACAGTACCTTTGAAATTAAGGCCAGGCAGTCAGCTCTCCCGTGCTTTGGGTGAAAGGACTGCGCACAGGGAGACCAGAAAGTGCTGTTGTGTGACAGGCCCTGTCAGCACAATGACATCTTCTGGGCAGAGCTCCGAGTGCTGGGTGGGAAGACTTTATACATGAGAAGATGGAGGAGAGGCAGCAGTCCGTTTCACTCCTGTAGCACGGAAATGTCTTGCATTTCTTCCCCTGATGCATTTTGTCCCCTTTTTGCAGGGAGCCTTCATGCTCCTACAGTCCTTTTACCCGAAGCAAAGCCTGGCACAGGCTCTGTGGGACCTGGCTGCTACACCTGCTGCACAAGAAGGTTGCACATCCCACATGTTACATGCTCCTTGCAAGAGCGGCCACTCTTCGCTTGCTCCTTTCCCCAGGAAGAGCTTCTCCAGCCATCATTCCCACAGGCAACACACTCCAGCCCTTCTCCCTTTCAGTAAATACTCAATTCTTAAGCTTTAAGGAGGTTTTCTTCCCTTCTTTTTGCCCAGTTCCTAGGTAGAAGCACACAGGGAGTATTCCCTCTTCTGGTCCCTCTCTGCTTTGTCACAGACTCAAATCGCCAGCTTCCTGGGGAACACGGAGCAGATGGTCCAGCCCTCATGTCAGACACTTACCAAGGAAGGACCTTCAAGGTCGGTGGGAGAGAAATGAGAGGCACATGGTGTCTTCAAGCTTCACAGCTCGTTTCTCAGCGTGTTTGAACTCAGACTTGATGTGGAGCAGAGCACAGGGAGGAAACCCGATCCCCTGAATGAGTCAGAGCACCAACTTTCTGTATTGACCAAAAGACTAAAGGTTTAAAATGGGAGATCTTGCCCAAAGGCCCCCAGAAAGGCAGAACATTAGGGAGCTCCGGTGGAAAAAGCAGTCTCCTGGGAACATGAAAAGAGTAAGTTGAAGAACTAGCATAAAAAAAAAAAAGCCACTGGGATAAAGAACAAATTCAACTGAATCATCCTTCATACAACACAACCCTAGCACCCTGGTAGGACAAGAGCTCAACAGGTCTGCAATGATGGTGAATAGATGCTCCCTCTGTCCAAGACTCCCCTCTAGTGCCTGACACCAGCATTTCTTTGGAGTCTCCCACTTTGCTATCACTGCTGTGCTTTTGAATAAAGCTTGTCTCCTGCTCTAGAGCAAAGGGTCATCGCTCCCGTGGGCAGCAGCTCTAGCTCTGCTCTTGCTGGGATATCCCAGTGTTGAGAGCCTCGGTATGCTGAACCCCAGCAGAAAATCCTCATTCCCTTCTTGGTCTGCTACTAAATCACATCAAGT